TCAGCTTTCATCATGAGACGTCATAATTCTTTTTTCAGCTCTCAGAGCAGAGTTTAAATGGTTGGAATCATTTTTTCTGGTTAGCCTTTTTTGGAGAGTTAGTTTTCCGTGGGTTGAGGTCGATAACCTCATGCCTAATCCTCCTCCCCTACACGTGCCTGGAACCAGCAGTAACTCTAGAAGAGCTACAGGCGGAGTTGTATTATATATATAATTATTATTATTCACAAAAATCTTATGGGTATATAAGTGTTGTGAAGAAACCATTTCGGGTTTCTTCAAAAATGTAATAATACACAAGTTTCAATTATGTTAGCATTACATTTGCCATGTTTGTGAAAGGAAAGAAAAGGAAAATAAAATATTAATGATAGAATAGTAATAATAAATCAGGTTCTGTGTAATTGGCAAGAATTTTGAATTGATTTTGAAGAAAGAAAAGAAGAAACTAAGGAAATAAAAATAAAGGAGACGCGAAATACATAAATAGCTTGTTTATGAACTCAGAACCAGAATAAACAACTTGTATGTATCGCAAAATGAGTAATAAAAATAAAATAAAACATAATAAATTGATAAGTAAACAACGTATCGTTGCGGTAAGATATGACGTTAGAATAAGTGTTTGTACATGCAGTCATAGTTTGGAGTGATGTTATGAAGGTCTCAATTAAGTGCAAAAGATAATCAATATATATGAGTTGTATATGCATAGTGAAGATAAAACGAGTCTGAGAAGTTGAATTCAGCGTAACACAAGTTATTGACTTAATCCAAAACTTCGCAATCTCAAGAATAATATTTACTTAGAAGGAAAAGAGAGAGAGAGAGAAAAGAAATGGACACATGGTGAAAGGGTCCAACCATGATAATAATAGTGTAATGGATATAGACTTTTGAGATAAACCAATAATTTAAAAAATAAAATAAAATAAATAAGGAAAATCAGAAATAATAATGACAATAATAGTAACAATAATAATAAACCTTTAGTGCACTCGGGTAAATACGTGTAGATTTATGTAACAGTATGCAGAGTGAAACCAGGTATTATTATGAACATTAGTGCAATGATAAATCATTGTTAAGCACGTTGGTATTCAACAGATGACACAATTCACTTTCGGAAAGAAAATCATCAAGAAGACTTCGGAACCGGGTTGTAGTTTCACTGCATCGGAGGTTCATTGGTAGTCTATTCCACATGGTTGAGTAGCGAATAACGAAAAAATTCTGGCGTAAATTTGTGTGGGTTTTTGGAATCGCTAGAATATTTCCCTTATTGCGTAGATTGTGGGATGGTATCATAGAGTATGAAGGGATAGATACCGAAGAGTAGGAAATACCGTTAAGAAGCCGGTAGAGAAAGATAAGGTTTAATTTGATACGCCTGATCCAGAGAGGTTCTAGTTTGAGCAACAGATTTTAATACGCCTATAAATATATTTATCCCAAAAAAATAAACGAATTATTTTGTTTGCTAGTATGCTCGGCAATATGTGTATATTAAAAAATTTTTCAAAAATACGAAAAAACCATTCTTTAAAAATCGCTTTTACGCTATTTCAGGCGTATGAGTTTATTTACTTTTCTTCACCCGCTTTGTGTCTTTACGCGCGTACGAGTGTATGTCGACATTCACTTACATATTCTTTTTTTCTTTTCCAGGACGGCTAGAAAAGAAGAAAAAAGGACGATGAAATTTACGTAGAACCGAGATTTTCATTGCACCTTTTTCTTCATTACTATATTGTACTACATGGTCCCTTATATTAAGGAAAGACGACCAAACGCTGGTTAACATAGCAAGCTATCAAAAGATTGTTTACCAACAACAAACTCGTTGGGTTTAGACTTCTGGCTGACCAAGTCGTAGGGTCATCACTACCCCACTACGGGGGAAAAGTGATCTGTAACGGTAAATAAATCCCCAAAATCAATAGCTCCATTGGTCTTCGGCACTGAATGCTGACCACATTGGTTTCAATGAACTCACCTAGCTGAAGGCGATCGGTCATGCATCTGCACCAGATCACGAATGGGAACGCCGTGCTCAACTTCTCCTGCGATCGCTAGTCTGTTTAGATCAGTCACTTCTTGATATATTGATAATCTATCACATGTATCTTCGAGCCTCCTCGCTTCTGACTTTTGATTTCACTGGGTGGGCACGACTCAATTATCAAAGTTGTTACTGGTTAAAGCGTTGTCAAACTACTGAATACCTGTAGCGTCTTCAAGTTAATTGTTACGTCATAAATGCTTGTGTTTACATTATAGGAACTTGTGTATTTGACTATTAGCTCTCTTTTAATCATGTTTCTTGTTATCCAATACATATTATGATGAAAAGTAATTGAATTATAACACACTATTTGCCTCAAAACGGGACGAAATCTTTGCGGCAGTTTACTACAATTGTGAACACTTGACTGTAGTTGATCCTTACTGTTTATGAAAGTCTCTGTCGCTCATGGTGTTTACTTAAAAAAGAGAAACCTATACAATATCTTTTAAGCTAATTTGGAACAATAAGACTGATACAAGTGAACAGTTATTGATCATAAAATGAGCTCCATGATCTTAGTAGAAAATACACTCAAGAGTATATTGCTTCGCAAATCCATTTGATTATTAGCAAAGAAAAGTTCATAACTATTAAATGATAAAAAAATATCGGATCCTGCATGCCATGCTTAACATTGTTCATGTTAAATTAACACATGTAATGTCGTATATTGACTGAACATCTCAGTGCGATACATTATTGTCATGCGAAGTAAAATATCATGCTGAAAATAAAACAAATATTACACTGAATAATCATTATACCTAATCAACAAAAGAAGTTATGTTGAGCATGAATCACAGTGAGATGAAAACGTGATTCTGCATTATTCATCCTGTAATACCACATGTTTACAAGCAGGATATTTCCATTGTCTGTTCAGTCATTCCAAGTAAAGTTGAAACCATTCCAGCCTAAAAACTTTTATAACGATCCCTTTTTTGTATACACTAATGGGAACTTAATTTACATTAGACGAATATCTACGCTAGATTCCCTCCCTGTGTCTACTCTGCAGGACATCAACACAACTCAGATCAAGAACACATGATTAGCCTGACAAGGACGTAAATATATTTCCACGCCAAACCGACACAATCCAACAACAAATGGACAATCAATAATAATAATAATAATAAGGATAGGAGAACATATAACTCATCTGACACCTGTCACACGAATACGAATAACATTATGGTCACATCGATTTTTTTTAATAAATATTTTTGTCCCCTTTAATCAAAAAATGTTCATCCCATTTTCCAATTCCTTTCAAACCGTTCCGTCCAATGAAATTCCTAGTTGTAAATGCGTTATAATTGGTTATGTAATTCTTGAAATTCCTATTAAAGCTCTGTACTTATCGATATAGATAATTTTCTTCACAATATGGACGTCAGTAACGTGCAAATTAGAGGCTCTGTTGTTCCTCACGTAGTCACAGAAACGGAAAATGTATTTTTGAATACACTGTATCTGGTAGCGTTTCCATCACTGGAAGCGTTAAAGAGCGCCATTAGAACTTATGAAATAGCAACGTACTGCCATTATGCAGTGAGAGATTCTCATTTCCACTATCTACATGTTTGACTAAGAGAAACAACCAATCATTATCATTCTCGCCCACATATTACCACCCTCACGAAGTTTGATCGTATGACTTCACTTTAGGGTCTATTTGAAAAAGGCACGTTTGTTTCCGTTCTCTTGATGACCTTCGGTTAGCTTCTGATCTCAGCTCATTTATTCTCATTTCAACGTGTGGTGGTGGTGGAATATTAAAATTATCACACAATAAGGGTGTGGGTTTAGATGACATATATATTTTTTCTATCTCGCAGTTGATTTACGTGTCTAATATCTGCTATATTTTCAACCATCACTCCATACAATACCGTCTCACGTCTTTTTTATACACACAAATATCCACTTTGGCTTACCAGGCCGGAAATCATGTGCATAAACTAAGTCGCCTGCTTTAAATTCTCGAATCTTCGGGCGATTCCCTTTCTTGTTTTTCTGTAGTCCATTTTTTCTGCATTTCGGGATCAAAATATCAAAGAATGTTCTAATCGGTCGGCCGAACATTATTTCGGCTGGTGATTTCACGTCTTGACATTTTGGACTCGGTGTAATTCCATAAGAAATTAGAAATTGTTGAAGAGACTCTTCTACATTATCTTCTCTTTGCATCTTTAAGAGAGCTCGCTTAAGAATGTCAACGAATTTCTCTGCTTGGCCATTTGACTGAGGGTGATACGGTGGGGTTCTAATATGTTCGATTCCATTTTGTTTGCAGAACTCCGCAAACTCTGACGACGTGAACTGCGTCCCTTTATCTGAAACCAAAACATTAGGTGTACCAAACCTACCAAATAGTTGTCTGAGATGTAACAGTGTTTCAGATGTAGACGGTCTTCGCACAACATAGATTTCAGGCTGTTTAGAGTATGAATCTACCACCACCAGGAAATATTGTTAGTTTATTGGTCCAGTATAACCTATGTGTAATCTGACCCAAGGCCTGTTCGTTTCTGGCCATGGCTGGAATTCTACCTTCGGTGGATCTTTTGCACCTTCGGCAGATCGACGACATCTCGATACGTGTTCTTCCATAGCCTTATCCGTGAATTGCCAATAGATATGACTAGGCATAACTGCTTTCATTCTGTTCATTCCCGAATGACCAATGTGAAACTGTCTAAGCACAAAACATTGAGAATATTTGGGGATGACAACACGATTGCCATACATCAAACAATTATCATAAATCGATATAGACTCACGTCTCAAAAAATCGGTAGAACTCTCAATCAGCCTTATCCTCTTTCCAACCCTTTAAAACAGCTCCTTTTATTCTTTCGAGTCAAGGATCATTAGCTGTTGCTTCTTTAACCGCTTCCTCCATTACTGGTAGGATTCTGATAGCATCACAGAACACTCTTTTTATTTCCGGCTCAAGTGACATAGAAGCAACCACGCTATCTTCCTCTGACTTGCGGTTATTAGCAATTAACCTTGACAACCCATCTGCATGACCCATACGAGCTGACAGCTTGTACAGTAATTCGAAGTCATATCCTAGCATCATAGAAGCCCACCTAGGACTATGTGCACACTGATATGGGAGCTGCTGCGTTTGAACAAAGAATAGATTAATGTACGAGATCTGGAGATAACCGTTACAAAGGTAGAGAGAATGTAATTACGATAATAGATACTGGTTTGTATAAATACTTAAAAATATCACACAGCTAATGTTGTTAGATCACATGTTTGGAAATTACTAGAAATGGTACTGGTTACTGGATATTAACAAGTAGTTTAAGATAGTACACCAAAAATGAGATGGATGGAAAATCGATTTAAGAACCCTAAATTAGACCCTAGGGCATATCAATAAATAAATTGAAAAGAAATGTGATTTAAATCCAAGGATAGGAGAAAGAGCAATAATTTTGTAGTTCTTCCTGATGTTTGAAATATCTGTTTTTTAATGAATTTACTCCATGTTAGGAATCAGTTTGGCTCTAAATTAACATTTTAGACTGTCGGAAGATAAAATAGAAGCATGATTTCCTCTAGCAGTTAATTGGCACATTTACATATATAGATAAACATGTTGTACAGTATTTTATCTTTTTCCCATACACAAGTTTGTACATATTCAAGTTAAGTAAGACTCTGAATTAACATAATTGTCGTACAGACTAATATTGAGGCCTATAATAATTCTCCTTTACTTTTGTTTATAATATGGATGTTTGTAGATGTGAGCATATGTGATCAAGAACATGTATGTTAGCCTAAGTTGTTATCTCTCTGTTACGTTCAAACCAATGTAGCCGATATTTTGTATAACCTCCAGACAAACGTTATCCATTCGTACTTCCTACTAATAAATTCGAAACGGATTGTTTAGTTTTAGCACTGCTTTAAAAAGGAAAATTATGATTAAAAATTATTCAAAATAACTGAAAGAATAACATTACTAGGTTATACAGCCGAAGATAATACGATCAAGATCTGAAAATGAACCAAATAAATAAGTTACCAAAAAAGAACTTAAAAATATTTACTTGTTATAGTATAAATATATTCTTAATCAAACTAAGTAATACACTAATCAAACCGGGCTACAAGTGAAATAAATTGTAAAAACCTCATCTGGAACCAAAAAATAAACGGACTAAGTAAACAAAGGAACCGAGAATTAAAAAAATCGAATTCAAAGATAAAAACAAAGGGTTATTGTTATATGAAATGCATACATTAAAACATTTCCACAAATAAGCAGAAATAAATTCAAATTTTTACATAAAAGAAGCTTAGAATTTCATCTACTTAAATACTGATTGCTTGAAACGTTCGATGACGTATTCTCATACTTACACATATTCGCTTGGTAAACAAGATTCATTGATTCGGTCTCTGTTCCGTGTGCTATTGATGTCATCTGAATTGAACATTCCAAAAAATCTGTCCCTAACACACTTTGTTTCCACTTCTGAATATCTTTCATAATTGGTGGACTAATATTTTTCCCAGAGTTAGGAATAGAAATGTAACCTTTCTGTAACGACAGTTTATTTGTTCGTTGGTCATGTCATCATTAATCATCCAGTCACTCTCTCATAATAATTTTGTGTTTTCAAAAATGTTTATCAGGTTTTGTTTGTATTTAGAAATAATTCTATGTTTTAACAGGCTAACTTTTGCCTTATAATGTTTCTGCTGCGCACCGAGAGATAGGGTATTGAAGGAAATTAGTTATATAGGTTGCCAGTTTTCATGTTATCAGTCTGAATTCGTCCTTACTTTTGTCATTTCATCCATTCACATTATTGTCTTAGCTAATAACAGTTTGCAGAATGAAGCATTTTTTTATTTAGGAATTTAATATGATATATTTCCTGAAATTAGTCGTTTTAGAAAACATAATTAATTAAGTTAAACACAAAATAATTGCCCATCCTAGGATATTTTCATTTGGTGAAAATGTTCTGAAAAATCCCCTGGTTAAAGTGTTTCAGAAGATCCATAATGTAAACTGAATACAAAATTAGATCAAGTATTGCCATCGAAACATCATATCCAATCCACTAGTTAGTGATTTAAACAATTAATTTTAAATAATCTCTCACTATAACAAATTTGTTTTATCTAGAATTAATTACAATGTTCATTTGAAGACATTGGAATACAATATTGCCTACCAAATGGATTTCTTTTAGATATAAAAAGGAATATAAGTAGCGAAATAAAATAAACTGTTGAGTTTACAATGACAATTTGATTACAAGTTCCTAGATTCAAATAAACACCAAACATAAATCCTGATGTGTTATATTACGAAACTAAGATAAAGTTAGGTGGAAAGATATATTTTATAAGTGATTGCATTTTGAAATTTTTCAACTTTCAGACCTAACCAACATAATTTCTTTTAGAATAAAGATTGAAAAAGATGACTGAAAAATAGAGTTAAATTATGTTTTTAATGATTATGAAAGCAAAAAATCTTTCACAAAAGTATATTTTTTGCGGCTGTGGATTTTCTAGGTGGCTGTTTTGAATGGATTATCATCTTAAATGTATATTTGATATACTTTATAGTCATTATGGAAAGATTGCTGCATCTGCATTTTCTTATAATAGTGATCTTAAAAAGTATAGTAGTTGTCTTGATTAGCAAGCGAAATAGGGGATCATTGGTGTATTTGATTACTTATCCACTGTAAATGTAATTTCTTTACAGGGGCCATTTAAATATGTAATGAAACATTCTAACCAACCACGTCAATTGTCGTTACTGAGTATCAAGTAACTGATATTTTTTTAGTACCACACACACATCATATTCAATATTTGGGTAATAAGTTTGTACTGTCAGTGGAAGGGATTCAGAGGAATGATATGTGTTAAATTCAACTGCTTTTTACCTTGACAGTTTTCAAAGATGAAACCATAAAAAATAAAGACGTTCTGCTAGTAAAACAATTTCATTTTGTCTTACTTTATCTTATAATTTATACATATTTTCCTTAAAATGAAGTCACTTTATTTAATCATGGATTACTATTTCAATAATAAACAATATTTGAGTTCATTCACCTGAGGGAGTGTAAATTTATGTAATCTGTCGACTGTTTAAACGAATCTAGTAACTGAATTAGTAGATTTTATATAAACAATGTAGGTTAAAATGTCCAATCAGAATCTTATTTAGTTAAAATCATGAGTCAATTGAATATAGACCACCGTGGGAAACCTGGAAGCAATGGGCGGCCATTCCGTCCTATTGTGGGGCTCCTCAGAAGTGCACATCCACGATCCTACCTCGCGGGATTCGAACCGAGGACCTACCAGCCTTAAACCAGAGCACTTAACCGATTGACCACTGGTCCAGTGCTTCAGGTTTTCCATGGTGGTCTAGCTTCAAATGACTCATGATCTCAACTATATAAAATTACTAAAATCTCCACAAAACCCCCTTGTGATACTCAGCATCTGTTTAATCAGTATGATATTGAAATTATTCTGTTGTAAAACATACACGTAATTAAATCAGGTTCTCATTCATTTACAAATTATAAGTTATAACATTAAAATAATATCTAAACCAACCCTAAATCGATTAAATGATTTCAATAAATCAAATATTCAAGATAAAATGTTCTATTAAAATTATTAGGGAATTTTAAAAAAAAAAATAAAATCTATTAAGATTGTTTGAATACTATCAGATTATTTCTTATCCGTTTATTATTGATTTTTCTCGTTAGTTGACAATTTGTCTTTGTGCTCACTGTTCAATTTATTGATTGTTTAAAAACTAAAAATAACAATGATAATTGAAATTTCTAAAATTTAAAATTTAAAATATTTACAAACTGTTAATGTTTTGTGTTGTGTTTGTTTATATTTTTAAAAAGAGAAAAACAAAAGAGAAAGTAAAAGTGCGGGACACATAGATAACTAATAGTAAAAAAGAGAAAGTCTAAAGAAACATTGTAGATTATTTTTGAATAGTAACAAGAAATTAGAAATTTTTTAAATATTTGTTATATCTAGTTATCAAATAATGAAATTAATTTTGAAAAAAGGCTTCAAGAAAATAATATTATACAAGAGACTAGGGAATTTATTTATGTTTGTACAAAAAAGAATTTAAAATGATTATTTGATAAGATTTGTGTTATATAGAAGCCATAGGAATTTGTACATTTCACCCCCAATTTATGTGTACAGAAGAAATTCGTAACCCCCCCTATCCTTTCCATGGCAGGACATAACTTAACAAATGACATTATTACTATTTAAAGTAATTAGTCTCTTTGATAAATTTCGATAATGTAATAAGAAGAGCCCCTAAAAGCCCTGGTACGGCCGAGAGTCCGCTTACCCTCTCGAAATGCCCTCTCGTGGCCACGCGAATATATAGCCTCTGTCAGGGAAGTCCTACTCACTGCCTTCTCGTGGCGGGGGCGTTGCTTACGAAAGTGAGAGGACGGTAAGCGAATGTCCGGCGCTTTAATCGGGTTGGTGGACATGGAGGGTCCACCTAGAGGAGTTGGAAAACCCTGATTCCAAACCAATGGTGCACATGGGCTCCAGTATCCTGATGGAACGAATGGCGTATGAACCAACCGTTGGTCACCGGCTACCATTGTACTGCATCTCCTCACGATGCTCCATTGCCTTGTGGATCAGACCTTTAGGTCAAAGGCTCGGGGTGTGTCCCCCTAAGAAAACTACCTGCTTCAGTCTGGGCACGTGGGCAGTATCACAGCCCTCACACAAATCGAATGAGATTTGTGAGGCGCATATTTATCTGGTGCATTTTTGTACCAATATTTATGTGTTTAAATAAAATAAATAAATAAGATGAAGATTATCAGATCTATGTGATATATTAGCGCAATACATTTCGAACAATCTGATCACACATATACTTGTTAAGAACATAATTCTCACAATCTTCGTCCTCTTATTACATTATGAAAATTATTATTTTTTTAAAAATTTGTTTTTAGTTTTGTTATCATTTGTTTTTCATAGTTGAAATCATGAGTCAATTGAAGTTAGACCACCATGGAAAACCTGGAACCACTGGACGGCCGTTTCGTCCTATTATGGGACTTCTCAGCGGTGGGCATCATTTGTTTGTAATTTTCCGACTCTTTCCGTTTGTATTCTTCACTATCTATTTACTTACGTACTTCTTATTACGTAATGATTTTAATGTTTTGTGATTACTATTCTAGTTTATTTACCCACGTTTGACCTTTTATTTCCTATGTTTAACTATTGATAGAACTCTTGTTATCGTAATTTAATATTCTTACTATTATCAGTACACCTATCTTCTCACTATCAACTTGTACTTTTACCTATTATGCTCGGTGACGTATTCTATTTCATTGTGATTATTGACTTGAGAGCCTTGATTGGTTTAAAATTTTCATATAAATATTCATGTGTATTAGAGTAAAGCCTGATGACGATCTAATTGAAAACAATTGTTCGCTTACATGTGTTGTTCTAATTTTCACAATGAGAATCTTTAATACTACAATTAATGAAAAAGAAGAAAGATATTTTACAGATAACCGCATTGACTTATATTAACTGATATGATAGAAATGTTAACTTTCAATTGTCCAATGATCTCTTTGTGTAACCTTTTTCATTCAATAATATTTTGAAAGTATATAATATTGGGACTTCTATGGTATGTTGTATTTTTTCTATAGAACAGAATTCATATTTTATTTGCAACTCCAACACAAACTAGAGGGAACACAGATGAGTTTCAGAACTAATTAGACTATTCAACTTCACTTTCTCGGGGTTATTCACTAAAAAATAACGTTATATCTATTATTATTGTATGGATAACAAAATTTATTGTATTATATTTTATCTTATCAATTCATTTTAAAACGAAATTTTTTATTTTTGTATGATAAAGTGGGTAATGCGAAATGCCTTTCATTAAAATATAAAACCTTAGATATTAACAA